TTTTTCTTTTTGCTTATGTGGTGCTGAGGAATCAAACCCAGGGCCTCGAGCATGCAAGGCAAGCGCTCTACCACTGAGCCACCTTCCCAGCCCCAAGTAGGTGAGACTCTTATCTTCAATTAATCTCAGAAAAACTAGAAGTAGCCAGGTGGTTCAAGTGATAGATCGCTAGCCTTGAGCAAAAAGAAACTCAGGGACAGCGCCCAAGCCAAGAGTTTGAGCCCTAGGCCTGGCCAAAAAAAAAAAAAAAAGTGATAAATGAATGATGTAAAAAAAAAATACCAAGGACAGTGGAAGAGAGTAAAGGAAGAGAATTTCTTGGAGGAAGGGACATTTGAGTTTAGATCAGGGTGAAGAGAAAGAACAGCATGTGAAGACAAGAGAGACGTGCGAGTGCCAAGTTCAGTAGGGAGCTAGGTAAGGACTCTAGGAGGCCAGTGGGACTAGAGCAGAGTGACCAGGTGGAAGATCAGGAGACAAAGGTGGGAGGCAGCAGGACTGGGTCCGGAGGGTCTAGAAGACCACCTCGGGAAGTTCAGGTTGTATCCTAAGAGTAATAGGAAGTTACTCATACGAGATCATTGAAGAAGAGAAACATTTGTTTTTTGGGTATACTGGGGTTTGAACTCAGGGCTTTGTGTTTGCTATGTAAAGGCTTTACCAGTGAGCTATAGCTCCACTTTGGGTTTTTTGTCTGTAAAAGCTTAATGGCTACTTTGCTGGAGTGATTTGAGAGGGACTGGCAAACCCAGCAGCAGGAAATTGACCACTGCCAAAGATCCTTGTAGTTTGGGGAGAAAGGGCTAGGAAAAATGCAAAGTGGAATTTGGGTGCACTTTAGAGACGACATTGCTAGAACTTTGAACAAGGAGAGGAAAAGGAGAATTCAGAGAGATGCCTTGGTTTTGGACTTGAGCAACTGGATAGAGGAATCACCATTTCCTGGCTAGAGGAAGAAAGTGGAGAGGACCATGGAAGAGCACAAACCTTTTGTCCCAATGGAGCTGTCTAGAAGGCAGTGGGGCTATTCCAGCATGGAGTTAAGAGAGAGGTTTACCTTGTTCCTATGTTACTATTTACTGTCATAAGACTGGTGCCATCCAGTGAGCATGAGCCTAGAAGTGCTCTAGAGATTGGATAGAGAAAAATAGGGTCACTCAAGGGAAATTGGTGAGGAACAGCCAGGGAAGAAGAAGAGAAACCCTAAATGTGATTTCATGGAGGCTGAGAGGATAGAATGTTCTAGAAGGGGGCTATGGCCAACTCAGTTGAATGTGTCTGAGAGGTCAAGGGAGGTGAAGACAGAAACGTGTGCACAGGTTTTGGCAGCCGGTGTGAGCGACTTGACAAAAGCTACTTCCGCTGAGTGGAGGAGATGACAGCCAGTTGGCCTGGATTGTGGAGTGAATGCAAGGTAAGGAAGTAGAGTCAGCTGATGTAGACACTTTCCAAGAATGTGGTGTTTTTTTTGTTTTCTTGTGTGTGTGTGTGTGTGTGTGTGTGTGAGTGAGACTAGGAGCAGAAAAATAGGGAAGTGGATAAAGGGAGGTGCTGGGAACATCATTTTATCATAGCTGCTATTAAGTTTAAGGTATCTGCTCACAGACAGCACAATGTCAATGAGCAGAAGGAAAAAAAAAGATAACTAAAGAATAAGACCCTGGGAAGAGGAGTCAGGTTCCTGGGCCGAGGTGCGTGGCCTGGCTTTGATGATGATGATGATGATAACCTGACAGGAGACAGGAGGAAGAGGAATGACAGCGGAGATGGCTCTGTGAACTTGACAGTGATGGCACCGACTTTGTCAATGAAGGAGAAGGCAGGCTCATCAGCTGGAAATGTTAGGGAAGAAAGCGGGGCTTTGAGGACACATAAGAACATGAAATACTTATTCTCAAAAAGTGGAAAAATCAGCCTACCAGAAATTTCTGTACTTACAGGGCTAGCAGGATTGAGGGCATATTCCCACACAGTGTGAGCACAGCCCACTATCTTTGTCTGGCAACCTCCAGCTGCTGGGGAGACTCAGGAAAAGCACAGCAGAGGTTCAGGATGGGGTTTCCCAAGGTGGGGCAGTGGAGGGAGAGAAGAAGCAAGGGTTAGAGTGTGGGCCTGGGAGGGGTTGGCCAATCAGTCTGAGTGGGAAGGGAAGTGGATGGGGTCTGGTGGGAGGTGCAGGGCCCACAAAGGCCTGAGCAAGCCTGAGGATCACAGCAACAAGTCCAATTAGGTTTTAAATCAGGATATGGGGGGCTGAGGTAGAGAGATCCTCTGATTCATTCATTCATTCATGCAATAAATTTAGACAGGATCCACCCAGCTAAAAGCTTGGGAAGGAGGGCTTTCTGGAGGATGTAGCTTTCACACAGGTTGAATCTGGAAGGAAAAGCTGGAGCTCTCAAGGAAGATAGAGGATGGGTACTGGGGAGGGGAGCAGACCACAAGCAAAGGCCCCACAGGGGCTGGAGTTGGAAACTGTTTGGCTGATTTGTGAAAATGCAAGTCATTCATAGCCAGTGGAGAAGGGTCAAATGCTAAGGTAGGAATCAGATAAAGGAGTAGCCATGTGGAGGTGTTTAGGGATATATTGAAGGATACCCGACAGACAGACAGACAAGGGGGAAATGGATGATCAGACTTGTGATGCAGATGGTAGGGAGGGAGGGACAGAGGACAGAGGGACAGAGGTATGGGTAGAGGTTATATGAATAGAGAAGGTGAGGGGTGTGTGCTCCTAGCTGTAGCCTTGGAGAATGTAAAGGACAAGATATGCTGGAGAGAGACACCCTCAGGGTATGGGAACCACCAGGCATTTGGCAGACACCAGCCACGCTGGCCTTCAACCAGCTAAACCAATGAAGATACCTTTCCCATCATGTAACAAGACTTTTATGACTTCTAGACATAAAGGGGCTGTAGGATTAATGAATGAAATATCCATTTTGAAGATAGGATGGCATGTGATGTTCAAGGAATACCTTCCAGCAAGGGAAGCAGAGGGTTTCCAGAGCAGAGACCACAAGAGGGAACAGAGGGTTGGGCCACGTTGCTCTTAAGAAGGAAGACATGTTCAGTATGGGCTGCTCAAGGGCTCTGCTGAGAAGAAACCCTGAGCCTTGTGCCTTAGGGTCTTGTGCCTGAAGTGAAATCAGTTTCCTCAGCAGAGGCTGGACTGGAGCCAGGCTGTGGCTCTGGGTTTTTGGTGATGGTGTCCTTGGGCTGGTGGGAAGAGCCAAAATAGCACCAACATCTCATATGGAGCTAGAGCGGGAAGATCTAGGGAATCTATTGCCAAGTGGAGACTGTGAAGTGGGTGGATCCCACCAAGGCCATTTGGCAGGCCAGTGACCCTGTGCGATGACAAGTAGAGGTAAACGTGCAGGGATGGGGGGCGGTGTTAGCGAGCAAGGTGGTGAGGATCTGAGTGAGGGGGCACCCATGTGCACACGCACACCCCCCCATACACACACCCCCATACACAGGATGGGGTGGAGTAGCAGCTGGGGAATGCAGTGGGCAGGAACTAGCAGAGTCATCCCTTGGAAACACAACTCCCTGGAGGCTGGCAAGGAGCAGCTGGAGAGCCAGCCACAGGGCGTAGCCAGCTCTGCCCAATGGCCCTGGCCTCTCCCTGGCATCTTCCCCATTTGTTGATCAAGGCTGAGGAGTATGCCTGCTGGCTGGGGCAAGGACACGGCTGCAGGGCCTGGGCCTGGGAGAGAGCTGCACAGCATGTAGCTCCGGGGGTCTCTGAGAATACCTTATGTTGGAGGGAGTGTTCTTCCATGTGGGCCTGGGGTATTCTTGGTATGCCTGTCTCCTGATGTGGTCAGGTATGTGGTTCTGGCTTTAATGGTTCCCCAGCATTGTCCTTCCAGAGACCAGAAGAAGCCCAGGTCCAGGGGGGAGTCCACCTAGTGCTCACAGGCCCCAGTGTTTCCCCTGTTCATGCACGGACCACCAGCCAAAGCAGTTAGTCCCCAGGAGCTCTATCCCTGTCCCCACTGGAGCTGTCTGTCCCCTCATCCCTACGAGCTTGCCTATGCATCTTCCTCTTCTTCCTCACTAGCACCCACAGCTCTCCTGATATTGCCCCATGCGCATACATCCCTGCTCTTCCTGCTCCAGCTCCATGGACCAAGGGTTTGAATCCCATGGGATCTGGGAAGGGGAGGGGGGAAGCTGTTAGGATCATGTGCAAGACTTTGGGATCTTTTCTTATTCCCTCTTAACCCAATATCAAAAACTGAAGATGAGGCAAGGAACTCCACACCCCAGCTCCTCCTTTTCCCTTCTCTTCAGACCAGAGAGAGTAAATACAAGCAGATGTGTCACATGTGTCTATTCCGGCTCTAACAGTCTGCACCAGTCAATCACAACCCACTCTGTGTGTGGGTGTGTGTGTATGCGTGTGCATGTGTTAAATCTAGCTAAGACCTCAATGGTCTTCACTCACATCTCCAGGAAGCCAGGATCCGTGGATCCGCATGGCTGCATCCAAGGAGTCCATTTCCCAGTGGTGCTTCAGGCCGATCTCACCAGGCTTCTTAACCTGGCCCATTCATCCAGAGTGTCACATGGATTCAGCTAACTTGGTTCTCTATCTTGTTCCCATAGGCCAGCCATGGATTCCAGAGCTTGAGTCCAGGGGTTTTACCCCCAATCCCCAAGGCTGAAGAGGATCTGATTGGTTTGCTGTCATTTCTCAGGGCAACCCACCCCACTGCTGGGAGAGTACAGTGTGTGGCTGAGGGTGGGGGTGGGGTGATGCTCTGCACCCAGCTCCTTTACAGCAGCAGAATCACCACCACCCTGCAGGTGCATCTTCTGGTCCTGACAGAGTCCACTCACCCACCTCCCTGGCCCTGCCCCTGGGCAGGTAGGAGGTGAGGAGTGGACGGCAGGCCCAGGCCAGAGTGGCCACTCAGGGGCCTAGCACTGCCAGCTGCAGCTATTCTGCTGCCCACCAACCTCCTGGTCCCTGAGTCCAGAATGCAAGAATGGCTAGCACATCCCTGCCCAACCTGGTGCCCATTGGCCCAGATTGCTTGCGCCCCTTCACCCGGGAGTCCCTGGCAGCCATAGAACAGCGGGCAGTGGAGGAGGAGGCCCGGCTGCAGCGGAACAAGCAGATGGAAATAGTGGAGCCAGAGCGGAAGCCACGCAGTGACCTAGAAGCTGGCAAGAATCTGCCTCTCATCTATGGGGACCCACCACCGGAAGTCATTGGCATCCCCCTGGAGGACTTGGACCCCTACTACAGTGACAAAAAGGTCTGGGACCTGGAGGGCTCCCTCTTGTCTGTCTATCGTCCATCTGTGTGTCTGTCCTTGGGCCTCATGGGCCCTCTCCTTCTCTCAGACCTTCATCGTGCTCAACAAGGGCAAGTCCATCTTTCGCTTCTCTGCCACGCCTGCGCTCTACATCCTGAGCCCCTTCAGCATCATCAGGCGTGGGGCCATCAAGGTGCTTATCCACTCATATCCTGCCAGAGTGGGAGAGAGGGAAGGTTTGGGATGGCAAAGCTGAATGTTCTCGGCCTGGAGACCCTGTCCTCCTCCCCTCCCCTGCGTCCCCCTCACTTTTCCTTGACCCACCCCTACGCTGTTCAGCATGTTCATCATGATCACCATCTTGACCAACTGTGTGTTCATGACCATGAGTGACCCGCCGCCCTGGTCCAAGGATGTGGAGTAAGTGTCCTGTGCGTGCACCTGAGGATGACCAGTCCTATGTGATCACACTTGAACTCCCTGGGGGAGGGCAAGGCCCACTGTCACCCTGTCCTTCCCACCAGTGCCCTAAGTTCCTGAGTGGTGTGTTTCATCTGTGACCATCCATGATGACTGGCACTGCACACAGGCCTCAGCCCAGGTGACATGCCTGGCTGGCCTTCTCCTCGCCAGGTACACCTTCACAGGGATCTACACGTTTGAGTCCCTCATCAAGATGTTAGCCCGGGGCTTCTGCATCGATGACTTCACATTCCTGAGGGACCCCTGGAACTGGCTGGACTTCAGTGTCATCATGATGGCGTGAGCAGGGGCCGGTGGGCATCCTGTGCCCTCAGGTGGGTGGGAGAAGGAGGTCAAAGAAGGCAGCTGAGTCCAGTGCCAGTGGCTCACGCCTGTAATCCTAGCTACTCAGGAGGCTAAGATCTGAGGATCTCAGTTTGAAGCCAGCCTGGGCAGAAAAGTCCCCATGAGACTCTTATCTCCAATTAACCACTCAAAAGCTGGAAGTGGTGCTGTGGTAAAGCACTAGCCATGAGCACAAAGAGGCTCAGGGACAGTGCCCAGGCCCTGGGTTCAAGCTCCACAACCAACAAAAAGAAAAAGAAAGAGAAAGAAGGAAGAAAGGAAGGAAGGAAGGAAGGAAGGAAAGAAAGAAGGAAGGAAGGAAGAAAAAAAGAGGGCAGCTCCTTTTGAGGGTGGATGTCAATCAAGAGCCCTGGCCAAATGCAAAGTGAGTGATGCCCAAGTTCTATCTCAGAGGCTCTGCTGGTGTCCACATGCAGCACAGTGCCACTGGGCAAGCTGGGATGTCTTTGTGATCACCACTGCGTGGGGCTCTCTGTGTCTGACCTCCCCCTTGCCTTCTTGTGCTAACCTTGATGACAAGGACTTCTTGGAACCCTCATTCTGGGTCTCCTTCTGGAAGCCCCAGTACCCACCTGACGCTGACACTGCCCCACCCCCGCTCTTCACACAGGTATCTGACAGAGTTCGTGGACCTAGGAAACATCTCAGCCCTGAGAACCTTCCGGGTACTGCGGGCCCTGAAAACCATCACTGTCATCCCAGGTATCCAGGAGCTGCAGGGACACTGTCCTGGACATTAGCCCTCCCACTAGGCCCAGGTTGAGACCTTGACATTCAAGTTTTGGGAGCCTGGCTCAGAGGCTTCTGTTTGTGTAAAATGCACACCATGGGGTCCACATGGCCAGAGAGCTGAAGGTATCCACGGTGGGAGGCTGAGCAAGTAAGAGGCAGGATGGCAAAGGTGGCAAGTGCGAGCTCTGGAGCCACACAGTGTGGGTTCAGTTCTCTCCTTTACCACTTCCTAATATTGGCTTAGGCAAGTGGTTTAGCCTGCTTGTGCCTCAGTTTCTTTAACAGTAAACGTTGGGTTGTTATGAGATTGGTTGGGTTGTTATAGGACTGTGAATAGCTCCTGGCCCACTGGGTATGGTACAAAAGTTGTGTGTTAAGATAAAAAAAATAAACAGGGCTGACAATGTGGCTTAGTGGTAGAGTGCTTGCCTAGCATGCATGAAGCCCTGGGTTCAATTCCTCAGTACAGAAAAGGGCAGAAGTGGAGCTGTGGCTCAAGTGGTAGAGTACTAGCCTTGAGCAAAAAGAAGCTCAGGGACAGTGCCCAGGCCCAAGACTGGCAATAATAATTTAAAAAAAAGATAAAATAAACAGATCGGACAGAGCAGAGGACTCCACCTGAAAGACAGACCCAAAGGAACTAATGAGGGGAAGACCCAGGCTTGAGGGCACAGTGAGGAAGACCCACCTCCTTCAGCCTCCAGCCACAAGAGGCAGGGCGATTCCAACGTCATGCAGCAAGAAGCACAGCATAACCTGAGCACCAGCGGCTTACCCCTGAAATCCTAGTTACTCAGGAGGCTGAGATGTAAGAATGGCAGTTCAAAGCCAGCGCAGGTAGGAAAATACATGAGACTCTTATCTATCGCCAAGTAAGCACAAAAGATCCAGAAGTAAATGTGGCTCAAGTGGTAGAGCACCATCCTTGAGCAAAAAAAAAAAGTGAGAATGTGAAGGCTTGAGTTTAAAACTTACTACTGTCTGTCACACACACACACACACACACACACACACACACACACACAATCAGTCTAGAACTCAGAGTAAACCCTCCTGGTCTTTAGGCATTAATAGGCTTATATAGGAAAACGATATTGTGGTCATTGTTGAGGAAAGACAGTATTAAAGTTTTTGCTTAACACTGCAGGACTTCTACGAACCTTTGAAAGGCTTATTCTATAATGACTAAGAGTTAGACTATAGGACACAGCCTTTCCCAAACATTACGGACTTCCCTTCACCCTCTGAAGAGCACAGTTTGAAAGAAGAGTGTCCTGTGGAACACAGTTTGGGAATGCTAACCTAGAGACATTTATTAGACTCCTCTGTATACTTTTCTGTAGTATCCTAGGTCAGGCAGCAGCTCAGCGAGTCCTCGAGTTCATTTGCCTTGTGGCAATGCCAAGGCTCGGCACGGAGGATGTGCTCAGAGAAGGGTGGGGTTAACTGGGGAAGGCTTTGGGGAAGAAGTGGTACCTAGTAGGCCAAGTGTTGGAGAGGGGGTAGGCAAAGGCTTGGGAGAGGCCTTCGGGTGGGGGTCCACTGTGGTGCCTCCATCTTCTCTCTGTGGTCAGGGCTGAAGACCATTGTGGGGGCCCTGATCCAGTCAGTGAAAAAGCTGTCCGACGTGATGATCCTCACCGTCTTTTGCCTAAGTGTCTTTGCCCTGGTGGGACTGCAGCTGTTCATGGGGAACCTCCGTCAGAAGTGTGTGCGCTGGCCCCCACCCTTCAACGACACCAACACCACCACATGGTACAGCAATGACACGTGGTACGGCAATGACACGTGGAACAGCCACGAGAGCTGGGCCAGCAACTCCACTTTTGACTGGGATGCCTACATCAGTGACGAAGGTAAGAAGGCAGGGGAGGCCCAGCTGAGTACCTGTGCCTCATGCCTGTAATCCTAGCTACACACTAGGTTGGTCTCTGAGGATCATGGGTCAAAACCAGCCTGGGAAGTCTGTGAGACTCTTCTCTCCAATTAACCATCAGAAAAGCAGAAGTAGTGCTGTGGCTCACAGTGGTAGAGCATTATCCTTGAGCAATAGAGCTTAGGGACGATACCCAGGCCCTGAATTCAAGACCCACAACTGACAGAAAGAGAGAGAGAGAGAGAGAAGGGGAGGCCCATTTAGCCCCATGCACAGCTCCCATCTCAGACTGTAGCAATAACAAGCTTAAATGTCATCACCGAGCCGGACACTAGCGGCTCACGCCTGTAATCCTAGCTACTCAGGAGACTGAGATCTGAGGATGGCGGTTCAAAGCCAGACCGGGCAGGAAAGTCCTTGAGACTCTTATCTCCAATAAACCACTAGAAAACCAGAAGTGGCACTGTGGCTCAAGCTGTAGAGCGCTCGCCCTGAGCTGAAGAGCGCAGGGACAGCACTCAAGCCCAGAGTTCAAGCCCCACGACCCACAAAAAAAAAAAAATTTTTTTTTCATCACTGACCAGCCATGTATCCTCTGACAAGTCAGTCACTTGACCATACTGGCCCTCAGAATCCCAACCTATAAAATCAATAGATGAATACCTTTCTCAAAGGATCAATGTGACAATAAATGATGAATTGCTTTAAAAATCTGGAGGTTCAGCCAGGCATCAGTGGCTCATGCTACTCAGGAGACTGAGATCTGAGGATCACTGTTTAAAGCCAGCCTGGGTAGGAATGTCCATGAGACTCTTATCTCCAATTAACTACCAGAAAACTGGAAGTGGCACTGTGGCTCAAGTGGTAGAGCAATCGCCTTGAGCTAAAGAGCTGAGGGACAGCGCCCAGGCCCAGAGTTCAAGCCTTATGACTGATTAAAAAAAAATCCAGAGGTTCTCAAAATATAAAGCAACAGTCCTGAATCTCTGTCCCCCAACCTGAGCATCCTCTTCTTTGCCACACCTATGTTCCTCTCTGGAAGGGTCACTACACACCCAGATCTGGCTCACCTGACTGTCTTTCACACAGCCAAGTGTCTGTCTGTCTGTCTGTCTGTCTGTCTCTCTCTCTCTCTCTCTCTCTCACACACACACACACACACATTGAGACAACTACTAATAGTCCATACAGGATCAACTTGCAAATTAGGAAAAGTACCCATTCATCATGGTCCCTGGATTCTAACACCCACTTGCCCCTCCATCAGGGATCTAAGGAGATACATGGTAGCCCCAGACAATGTATACATGACCCATCTGGCTTTCTCTGGGCCCTGGCTAAGTCTTAACTTCATAACTAGGCATCAGACCACTTGTTGCCTAACCCCTGCACTTTACCCACCCAGAGGTTGTGAGGCTTAGAAACATCCTTATAAGGCAGCCTGCTCCTGGAAGCCTGTACATGGTGTGTGTGTGTGTGTGTGTGTGTGTGTGTGTGTGTGTGTGTGTGTGTGTGTGTGTGTGTGTGAGATGTGCATAGGCCTGTCCACAGGGGCACAGTGGGTGCATGTGCTCAAAGTGTGTCCATGTGGGTGATGTCTCTTCTTTGTGACCTCTCCCAAAGATAACTTCTATTTCCTGGACGGTTCCAATGATGCCCTGCTCTGTGGGAACAGCAGTGATGCTGGGTGAGTGATGCTGGAGGGGGAGCCCCAGGGGTCCTGGGAGAGGGGGACACAGTGATCTGGGGTGAACAGGAGCATAGGAAACTCCAGGGCCATGGATGTCAGACCTTCTTGTTTAGGGAGGGCAGTCAGGACTAAAGGATCATTTTCCCTTGGGGTCTCCCATCTGTCCTTCACTAGAGCCCTCCTCCCTAAAGCTGGTTCCTCATCCTGCCCCTAGGCATTGCCCTGAGGGGTATGAATGCATGAAGGCTGGCCGGAACCCCAACTATGGCTACACCAGCTACGACACCTTCAGCTGGGCCTTCCTGGCTCTCTTCCGCCTCATGACCCAGGACTACTGGGAGAACCTCTTCCAGCTGGTACCACTGCCCACATCCTCTCCCCCAGCCCTACCGCCTCACTCCTCCAGGGTGATGCTTTCTTCCAGGGCCTCACAGGGCCTACTCCAGGGTGGCCAAGTCCTCACCGTGGCTACCTCCTCATGAGATTCCTTCAGTGTCCATGGGACTCTTGGAGTCTCCAACATTGGGCACTTGGCTAGAGCTAAGCCACAGCTTTTCTCTATCCCTAACCTCTGCTTTATGAGCTGTGATCTGGGCATGGTGGATCCTCAGGTTAGATGCTACCAGGCTTCTCCAAGCCCAGGAGGACAGCATAGAAATTCAACTCTGCCCCTACACAATTACTGTACGTCAGCCTTCTGCATCTGCATCTTATTAGGTTCCCTCCACCTCTGTAGACTCAACCAACCATAGATACATAAATATTTATTTACACACATATTAAAACATGCCTGTACTGAACCTAAACAGACATTTTACGGGGTCATTGTTCCTTAAGGAACAGAGTATAATAACATTTCCACATTACCTACATTGTGCTAGATATTGTAAATCATCTTGAGCTGGTTTAAGGCATAAGAAGGATGTGCCTAGGTTAGATGCAAATATCACATCGTACCATATAAAGAAGTTACACATCAGCAGATTTTGGCATGCCTAGGGATTTGGGAATCAATCTCTATGGATGCCAAGGAATGCCTCTATTTAATGTCTACTGTTTGCAGGGTAGGAAGATCAAGTTTGAGTAATGGTATCTTCTGTTCTTTGGTGATGTTTTAACGTTGATGTTGCGCTTGATGCTGGTGGCTCACACCTGTAATCCTAGCAACTCAGGAGACTGAGATCTGAGGATCATGGTTCAAAGTCAGTCCAGGCAGACAAACTTGAGAGACTTAGCTCCAATTAAACAGCAAATAGGTGAAGTGGAGGCATGGCTCAAGAGGTAAAGTGATAGCCTTGAGTAAAATAGCTAAGGGAGAGTGTAAGGCTCTGAGTTCAAGGCCCAGTACCAAACACACACACACACACACACACACACACACACCACACACCACACACACATTGATTTAGCAATAACAATGCTATTAATGGCTACAATTTGTTGTGTGTATACTAGGTACCCAACTCTGGCAAAGTGAGAATTCAAGGGTATGCTTAAAATTCTCAGCACTTGGGAGTTTGACAGAGAAGAATCAAAGTTTAAGACCAGCCTGGGCTACAGAGTGGGACAAAACAAACCTAGGATTTAAGTGGCCCCAAAGCCCAATGTCTACCATTTGTCTGTCCTGGATGCCTGCCTGGGGACCTCCAAATTCTCAATCAAATCAGGGATGCCTGGATCCCCCAGTATATTTTGAAGTTCCTCAGAATGTGTCTGAGGATGGCCGTTTCCTGTCTCAAAGGCCCTCAAATTCCTCGGTTCTATGAGGGACCTGTTTGGCTTACCTGGCTGGGCAATGGGTGTGGGGAGAGGACCCCCATCTCTCTTTCTCTCCCACCTTCAGACCCTTCGAGCAGCTGGCAAGACCTACATGATCTTCTTTGTGGTTATCATCTTTCTTGGCTCCTTCTACCTCATCAATCTGATCCTGGCAGTGGTGGCCATGGCCTATGCAGAGCAGAATGAGGCCACCCTGGCGGAGGACCAGGAGAAAGAGGAAGAGTTTCAGCAGATGCTTGAGAAATTCAAAAAGCACCAGGAAGAGCTGGAGAAGGTGTGCATGCAGTCATAAGGATCCAGAGGTCCCCCTGTCCTCAGCAAAAGCAACTTGGCTTTTGGCTCAAGGATGGGGCAAGAGGGAAGGGTTCCAAAATAGGAGGAGCAGAACCAGTCTGGAAGCTTTAGTGGAATGGGTGCCAGCCAGACAATAGCATGCATATTTTTCTGTTCCTTGCCTCAGTTTCTCCACTTACAACAAGGAATCTGGAGTAATAAAATCCGAAGCTTCCTCCAACTGAAAGATAGAGCAGAAAGCTCCTTTTGGAGTCTGTGCTGAGGTACAGAAAGATTCCCATTTGAGAGCTGGGAATTTGGCTTAGTGGTAGAATGTTAGCCTAGCATGCATGAAGCTTTGGGTTTGATTTCTCAGTACCACATAAACAGAAAAAGCCTGAAGTGGCACTGTGGCTCAAGTGGTAGAGTGCTAGCCTTGAGCAAAAGAAGCTCAGGGACATAGCCCAGGCCCTGAGTTCAAGCTCTAAGACTGGCAAAAAAAAAAAACCATTTGAAACAAGGAACAGTTATCCATTTTTCCCTCCCTCTCCCCTCCCCTTCATCTCCCCCTCCTATTCTTCTTCTTCTTCTTGCTGGTAGTGGGGCTTGAACTCAGGACCTGAGTGCTATCCCTGAGCCTCTTTGTGCTCAAGGTTAGTACTCAACCACTTGTGCCACAGCACCACTTCTGGCCTTTTCTGAGTAATTTATTGGAGATAAGAGTCTCACAAACTTTCCTACCCAAGCTGGTTTCTAACCATGATCCTCAGATCTCAGCCTCCTGAGTAGCTAAGATTACAAGTGTGAGCCACTACCTCATTTCATAAAGAATGGAATCCATCTAGATATTTTGTGTGTGTGCTGGTAGCTCAGCTCCTCATGTTCTCCTTTAGCTTAATCGCTCAAGGCTTGTATTCTACCACTTGAGCCACAGGTCCACTTCCAGCTTTTTACTGCTTAATTGGGGATAAGAGTTTCATGAACTTTCCTGCCCAGGTTGGCTTCCAATTGTAAACCTCAGATCTCAGCCTCCTTAGTAGTACAGATTATAGGTGTGAGCCACCAGCACCCAGCTTCCATGTGGATTTTAGAGTTGAAGAACATCAGATGGTCCTGCCTATCATCCCCACTCTCATCAAGATTAGCCTTTCCACACCTAGTTTTGGCACCGCCAGGAAGGGCTGTTATCCTAAGGACTCAGTAAGAAGCTCTGAGAGTCAGTGAATCAATCCACCTGTTTCAGAGCTGGCCTAATTGCTCATCCCCCTTGCTGTTCTACAGGCCAAGGCTGCCCAGGCTCTGGAAAGTGGAGAGGGAAATGGGGACCAGGCCCACAACAAAGACTGCAATGGCAGCCTGGACACGTCAGCGGGGGAGAAGGGGCCCCCGAGGCCTAGCTGCAGTGCAGACAGTGCCATCTCTGATGCTATGGAAGGTAAATACCCTGCACCCCATCCCCTTCCTCCCACTCTGCCTAGTCTAACCACCAGGCTGTTCAACCTTTTGACAGGCAGGCCTGGCTAGATTCAGCTTTGGGAGGGCCAGGGGGTTGTGATAAATATAGTCCTGTCTCCACCTGGCCCAGTTCTAGCTGCAAGGCCAGGTCAATTTGGGAAGGAGATGCTTCCGGGAGGGCCTTGAGAGTTGCCAAGGCAATCGGGGAAGGACAGGCTAATAATACTAAGCAGGAAGGCCAAATGTTCCAGAAACGGGGTAGCCTGCTTCTCCAGCATTCTTTGGGTAAAAGTTCAAAGGTTAAAGGTTGAACTACACAGGAAGAGTCACAGACTCCCAGCCCTGGGCTATCGCCAAGTCTCAGGAGGAGACTAAAGATGTAATACTGAGAGAAAGTTAGGTGGATGATGGATGGATGGAAGGTGGATAGATGGTTTGAAAGATTACTGTGAACGGGGAGAGATACATGTATGGATGGATGAGAAAGAGAGAAGAAAGGACAGAGGAAGAAAAGGAAAGAAAGGAAATAGAGGGAAGAATAGATGAAAAGCAGGGAAAAGGAATAAACAAATCTGGGGGGAGAGAGGATATAAGAAAAGGAACTCTGATCCAGAGAAGAGATCTGTGCCTCCCAGGCCAGTTTGCCTAATGCTGAAAGCGAGAAGTCTGGGCTTCTACGGGACTTTGCAAATCCTGGGAGTGCACTGTCCCACTTGACCTCATCAGATGCATCCTGGTGACTGCTCTCACAGAGAATGGTTTAGGAAATGCTGGGCAGGGTTAGCTCAGGGAGCTCCTCACCCCTGCCTTTGCTGAGAAGTTTGGGGCCTCAGAAACTGGCGCATCCACAATAGCCTAGGGTGGAGATGAAAGGTGCTCACAGACTAACAGCATGGCATCCTGTAAGATATTTCATTTTTCTAATGCATAGGCAGGGCTAAGATCCTACCCAGGGTCACCATGGGGCTGCCACCACTCCAGTCCCTGTCCTTCATCTGCACTAATAGTATTTGCCTAGGCCAAGGCCACACCCATAAACCACAGAGGCCAAATGGAGGAGCAGCTTCACCTCATGGTGCTTACAGAGCTCTCGTGTGGTGAGCAGGAGGTGTTTCCAGAAAACCTGCCTGGAGGGAAAGGAGAATCTGGCTGGGGACAGTTTGGAGGTGCTGACATTACTGACAGTGATCCCCAAAGATCCTTCAGGGGACAACTCAATCTTCTCCCCAGACTCCAGCCAGCAGCATGTGAAACTGTGACACAACTTCTTGTAGTGGACTCCTGCCTCTCCTTGAGGACTCTGGAACCCAGCCAGAGACCAGGGCATCTCTCTCTGCCAGGATCTAGCCCTGGGAGGCTGCAGAGCCTGAGTTAGCCCAAATTTTCAAGGAGGGGCTTTGTAGGATGTGGAGTTCTGAGGGGATGGAGATTCAAGGGTAGGGCAATGGGGCGGGGCTTGGATAAAGCATTGTTGACAGATGGGATTTTGAGATTATGATCTTTTAGGAATGGTACTTTAAGTGGTGGAACCTTGAGGGGTGAGGGCCTATGAGGCATAAATTTGTAGGGGAGATTACAGTAAGAAGTAATCTCACTCTAAGAGGCAGTGAAGCTTGGAGTAGGGCTTGCCAGTGGTTGGATTGTTGAGATGTAGAATGCTAGGGGGCGGGGCTTGGAGTACTCTGGATGGAGGAAAGAGGATGACCTCATCAGACACTTGTTATAACTCCACCCTCAGAGCTGGAAGAGGCCCACCAGAAGTGCCCACCTTGGTGGTACAAGTGCTCACACAAAGTGCTCATATGGAACTGCTGTGCCCCGTGGGTAAAGTTCAAGCACATAATCCACCTGATCGTCATGGACCCCTTCGTGGACCTGGGCATCACCATCTGCATCGTGCTCAACACCCTCTTCATGGCCATGGAGCATTACCCCATGACAGAGCACTTTGACAACGTGCTCTCTGTTGGCAACCTGGTAGGAAGGGGACCAGAGGGAAGGGTGGTCCCTTGAAAGCAGGATAGGAGAGGGTCAGCAGAACTCAATGGGGCTATCTGGAAATCTGGGGCACTATTGGAGAGCATTTGGGGACACCAGAATTTTCCCAGAATATAGGGGTCTGAATTATACTAGGAAGGAACATGGGGTGATCCATAGGATATGGAGTTGGGGAGTTCAGGGTGTTTGGGGATAATGCAGGCAGAGTGAGGCCCTGGACTTCTTCAGATCAGAATTCTAAGGGGTCTGGGGCCACACCCTACAGGTGACAAGTTTCTCTGCTTCCATAGGTTGTCATGGGTCTGAAACTGACCAAGGGAACTGAGACTGAGAGTATATGGCTATAGATATGGGGGGGCGGTGCAAAAGGTCCCCCTGAACCTTGGATGCCCTGGATGAAGAGTGTGTCCCCCCATTCCTCCAGCCTGGCCAGGCCACTCCCTTTTGCAGCTTTTGCTGCTCTGCTATTGTTGACATGCTCTGATCCTCCCGCTTATCCCTGCCCATTAGAAGCATTATCACCTCGTTGCCAGCCCCAGTGGAGCCTAACAAAAGGAAAAGCCGCCTTCTCCTCTTCCCCCTCCTCCTCCAGCTCAGCCCCACCCTGCCCAATCCCCTTCTCAATTTTTTTCTGGATGGCAAATAAGCAAGAAACTCCCCACCCCAGGGGAAGCAAGCGCAGGGAAACTGAGATGAACGGCCTGAAGCAGGACCAAGACTAGATAGATAGAATGAGAATCAGGCCCTGGACTCCCTGGTCATCAAACAGGAACTTCTGTCCATGGAGGTGCCCACAGCAGCTATGGCTAGGCTTTCTGGATGGGCAAGAGCGTGCTCTAGATTCATGACACAGCTGCCATGGTATGCACCATGGGAAGGGCTTGCCTGTCTGCCCGATGCCTGCCCACTCTGAGCTGCTGTCTGGGCACCTGCTATGGCCAGAGACATCTCCTGGGAGGGGCTCAGTATGTGCCCAGGCAGGCTGAGGATCCAGGGCAGCTGGTGCCAGGCAGGAGAGGGGCCAGGCCCAGGGAGCTATCAGAGGCTCTGCAGCCCTTGGAATCCTGTTCAGGAATGGGGAGGCAGCATCAGTCTTCTGCTCATTAAACTAGCCCCTTCCTCGCCTCCTCTACACATTGAGTCTGACAGAATTTGCTAGGTCCTGGAGGCGGACTGAGAAGAGAGGTTTGGGGCACATATGCAGAAAGCCTGAATTGAGCATGTGAAACTGGGTAGCATAACTGAGGTCTCGGTACTCACCTCTGAGCTTCAATTTCCCATTTGTGAAATGAGTGTGATTGTACCTCCCAGCTAAATCGGGGGTGAGGGGCATCAAAGAGGTCACAGTGAACACAGCACTTGGTGAAGGCTGCACCTAAGAAGCTAAGTAACTTGCCCAGCACCACAAGGCCAGCAATGGATGGGAATGGTTCCGAGCTGTACCCATTCCTGCCTATGACAGGGTCTTTGCACCTGCCACTCACATGTGAGTTCTTTGTCTCTCTCAGAGCTCTCTCTTGGCTGGGAGTAGTCTGGGAGGCTCCCAAGGCCCTGTGTCCTTGGAGGCTCTGTGACCAGACCTGTCCACTCCGCAGGTCTTCACTGGCATCTTCACTGCAGAGATGGTGCTGAAGCTGATCGCCATGGATCCCTATGAGTATTTCCAGCAGGGCTGGAACATCTTTGACAGCATCATTGTCACCCTCAGCCTGGTGGAGCTGGGCCTGGCCAATGTGCAGGGGCTGTCGGTGCTTCGCTCCTTCCGTCTGGTACGCCACACCCACAAAGCCAGAGGCTGAGCAAGGGGTAGGAGGAGATGCCTCAAGAAGTGCCACTGCCCTGTGCATGCCACTGGGCCTAACAGAACTTCCCTTACCCATAAACCAGGAGAAAGAGAGAAAGAACCCTCCTTCCTCAGCCCACAGGGCTGGGAAGACTAATCTGATATCAGGGGGTATAGGGGCTGTTAAATTATTTTTTCACATGTGAATGCTTAAGAGTGTCTCTCCCCCACCCCTCCTCCCCACCCTGCGCCAGTACTGGAGCTTGAACTCAGGGCCTTGTGCTTTCCTTTAGCTTTTTTCTGCTCAAGACTGGCACTCTACCACTTGAGCCACAGCTCCATTTCTAGCTATTTGCTGGTTAATTGATGCTAAAAGTCTCACAGACTTTTCTGCCCAGGCTGTTTTTGAACCATGATCTTCAGATCTTTGCCTCCTGAGTAGCTAGGATTATAGGCATGAGCCCAACACTTTTTTTCTCTTTTTCTTTATTATTATTATTGTTATTGTTGGTGTTGGTGGTGGTGGTGGTTGTCATGAGGCCCGAACTCTGGGCCTGGGCACTGTCCCTCAGCTCTTCAGCTCAAGGCTAGTGCTCTACCATTTGAGCCACAGCACCACTTCAGGCTTTTTCTAGGAATAGAACCCAGCGCCTCATGCATACAAGGCAAGCACTCTACCACTGAGCTACCTTCCCAGCCCTTTATTAATGTTTTAATTGTTATTGTAAAGGTGATGTACAGAGGGGTTACAGTTACGTAAGTCAGGTAATGACTACATTCCTTTTGGACAATATTACCCCTTCCCACTCTCTCTCCAAGTTTTTCCCTCCCGACCCCCACCCACAAGTTGTATAGTTCATTTTCAACATAGTGTCCAGTGAATACAACTGCTGTATTTTTTCCACTTTTGTCCCATCATTTCTGTGCCTCCCTTTACAATCCCAAAGACAAATAAATGAACAAACATAACAAAAAGAGAAGAAAAACACAGCCAAAAAAATAAAAAATAAAAAAAGAGGAAAAAAAACCACCTCGTTTCCATTTCCTGGAGTTCATTTCAATAGTTCCTCCCCCCCACCCCTACCCTTTTTAACACACATGAATCCCATTTAATAGGGAGACAAATGGTGGCTTCAGGCCACGCAAAATCACTCTGTCTCCTGATTCTGGGTCTCCCTGGGGCGGGGTGGGGAGGGGTGAGGGGGATGGGTGATTCTCCAGCTTCATTCGCCCTTGCCCTTTCTCTGTCTGGCAGCTGCGGGTCTTCAAGCTAGCCAAGTCATGGCCAACGCTCAACATGCTCATCAAGATCATCGGCAACTCAGTGGGGGCGCTGGGCAACCTGACATTGGTGCTGGCCATCATCGTGTTCATCTTTGCTGTGGTGGGCATGCAGCTGTTTGGCAAGAGCTACAAGGAGTGTGTGTGCAAGATCGCCTCAGACTGCAGCCTGCCCCGCTGGCATATGCATGACTTTTTCCACTCCTTCCTCATCGTCTTCCGCATCCTGTGTGGGGAATGGATCGAGACCATGTGGGACTGCATGGAGGTGGCTGGCCAGGCCATGTGTCTCACAGTCTTCCTCATGGTCATGGTCATCGGCAACCTGGTGGTGAGTGACACTGGCTGGGTGGCTTCCCATGTCTCTTTCTGTTTCTCTTGATGTCAGTCTTGTCATCGGAGGGCCTTGTTCCTAGGAGGGCAAACTGTATGGAATTGTTAGTATTTTGAAGTTTTCTGTCTTCTAGCCTGCTACCCCCTAACATGGAATTTTATAGGACTTTACCTATGATTCTCAAATCTTAACCCTGTTAAGAATCAGAGAGCTGGGTTCAGTGACTCATACCTGTAATTCTAGCTATTCAGGAAGCTGAGATTTTAGGGTTGAGGTTCAAAGCCAGGAAAGTCTATGAGGCTCTTATCTCCAACTAATAAAAAACAAAAGAAAAAAAAATGCTGGGTATGATGCTGCATACCTGTGAATCCAGCCACAGTGAAGAGCTTAAATATATCAGGCCAGTTTAGCAAAAAAATGAGACCTTGTTTGCAAAGCAACTAAATTAAAAAGGTATGGGAATCATAGTTCAAATAGTAGAACTCTTTCCTAACAAGGACAAGGACCTGAGTTAAAACCTCATTTAAAAAAAAAGAATTATTGGGGGCTGGGAAGGTGCTCAGTGGTAGAGCGCTATCCTTGCATGCTCAAGGCCCTGGGTTCGATTCCTCAGCACCACATAAGCAAAAAGAAAAAAGCCGGAAGTGGCCCTGTGGCTCAAGTGGTAGAGCGCTAGCCTTGAGCTGAAGAGCTGAGGGACAGCGCCCAGGCCCAGAGTTCAGGCCCCACGACTGGACCCCCCCCCAAAAAAAGAATTATTGAGTTTATTTGGGGGTGGGGACAGCCCTGAGGCTTCAACTCAGGGGTTGGGCACTGTCCCTGTGCTTCTTTTGCTCAACGCTAGCACTCTACCACTTGAGCCACAGTGCTACTTCTGGCTTGTTCTGTATATGTGGTACTGAGAAATCAAACCCAGGGCTTCATGCATGCTAGGCTATCACTCTACCACTAAGCCACATTCCCAGCCCCACTAAGAGTTTCTTAAAAACAGATTCTTAATTCCACCTCCAGAGAATCTGAGGCTTGTGCTGAGTCAAACCCTGGGAATCTGTATTTCAGACACCTGCAAAGTGACCCTGCTGCTTCTGCTCCAGGCTGGCATTTTGAACGAAGTGATAAGGATTCAGACAATCCTACATTTCAATACCAGCTCCCTCATTATTGTCTGTGTTATTTTGAACAGATGACTAGTCAGGCTAGTTCTCTGTCATGTAGGAGAAAAAGAATAGGAAGTTCCCGGGGTCATGGGAAAATTGTTTAGCCAGTGTACAGAAAGGCTCAATGTGAGCTGGTGCCAGGGGCCCTTAGGGTCAAGGTCAAGTTTCTAAGTGTAAGTGTAAGAACTGGCAAGTGACTGAAAGAGTGTAGGAGTTTTCTGTCTCTATGGGTGGACAACCAAAACTGTTTTGCACATACCCTCTCCTGCCTGTAAACCCAACCTCTGGAAAAATGCAGCAGACTTGGCACTGAGAGAATCCAGCAATGACATAAACTGCACCCCTCTGGCCTTTTTCTGTGGCCCAGGGCTGAGCATGTGAGACAGTGCAGGGTGTAAGACTCAGGAGGAGGGGGTGGGGGCTACAGTCCAGCTGAGCATTTCTGTACAAGTGGCTCTCCTCCCTTGCCCACAAGCTCCTCCCCTTCTTGAGGAGGGGAGTAGAGTCACTCTTGTCAGGGCTCCCTGGTACTGTGCCCAGCTGTCCCCTGTGGTGGCCGGCACTACCCTGGTCAACAGGGTGGAAGATGCATGCACGTCTCCACGTTCTTCAAAGGCCTGAGGGATCTTTGGGCGGCTGGGTCAGTGCTTCTCAGATATCGCTGAGCTCCGGCTGGGGGCCCGGGACAGGTGGGGGAGGGGTATTACCTCAGCACTGCCCCCCCAGCACTCAGTGGGACCGCTCCAGAGGCCTACCCTGGCCTGTGGGTCCTGAGAGAGAGCATCTGAGGAAGTTAGATGCTAGGAAGAGACCAGGAAATGCCCTGATTACAGTCACCCCCACAAGGCCTTGGAGAAGCAGGTGTCTGCCCGAGGGCACAGGGCACGCTGCCAGGGGGCATAAGGACCCGGGCCCTCTGCAGCCATGCACTTGGTCACTTCCTCTGGGTTACTGCGAAGAAGAGGAAGTGACTAGGGCATAGGTACCCCACCTTGTGGAGGAACATGACCTCTTCTCCCACCCCACCCCCACCCCCTCCTTTGCCTGAAAGGCTATTTCTGTCCTCAGCAGGAGCCGTGTGCAAACCCTGCTGACCCAGAGAGCAGCTAATTCCCATCTCAGATGTGCTTCTGGCAACTGGATGCCTCCCCCTCCCCCTCCCAGACAGGGAGAAGAAAGACCAGTAAATGTGGATGGGGGGGCCGAGACAGAGAGGGAGCTAGAAAACACACTCAGCAGGGTGGGTGGAAATCCTCCCCAAGAGGAGTTTAATATTTCTTTAAAAGTACTAAGATAACACGGTTGTGAAGGTCATGACAAGAAGACCTTGGAGGCACTGGTTAAGCCAGAGGCTGAGTCCGGAGAGGACAGTCAAGGGCGATACAGTCACAGCTATAAGCTCCTCGCACAGGTATGCCTGTCAGGACTCCAAGTACAAACATGGCTATTCTTCTGGCTGACAGGAGACAGGACCTCTCACCTCAGCCAGCCTCACCTGCGTCCCACCACCAGCCAGCGATATGTGGGTCTGGATGGAAGAGCCATGGTATATTTCTGGGATTATCATTCATATTGTAGTTTAAGTAAATGGTAGTCTCTAAAATTGGGAGAACCTGGCTTCTAGTTCTGACTATGTTGTCTTGTCCTAAGGGGAACAATGCTTCCTTCTGTTTCTTTATCTATTAAATACCAAGATGCTCTCATTGCTAATCAGGCTCTTCCATGTACTCTGTGCAATTTTCTAGTCTTGCTAATGTAAGAACAGGCAATATCTTTTTGTTGTTGTTGTTGTCATGGGGCTTGAACTCTGGGCCTGGGCGCTGTCCCTCAGCTCTTCAGCTCAAGGCAAGTGCACTACCACTTGAGCCACAGTGCCACTTCTGGTTTTCTGGAAGATAAGAGATAAGAGTCTCACAGACTTTCTTGCCAGAGCTAGCTTTGAACCGTGATCCTCAGATTTCAGCTTCGTGAGTAACTAGGATTATAAGAGTGAGCCACCGGCACCCAGCAGCCAATATCTTTTAAGCACCTAATACATTGATCTTTTTTTTCTTTCTTTTTTTACATTGATCTTTTTAAGTCGTGACAGCATGAATAAGATAATCATCCCTACTTTACAAGTGAGAACACGAGGCATAGCACAGGGAAGTAACTTGCACTGGGATATATATCAAATAAGCTGAGATAAAGCTGGGCACCCAGTGGCTCATGCCTGTAATCTTAGCTACTTGGGCCTGGGGGTGTGGGGAGCTGAGATTGTTGAGATCATGATTTGAGGGGCAGAAAAAGTTTGTAAGACCTTCTCAATGAAATGGTGGTACATACCTATTATCCTAGCTACCACAAAAGCCTAACATAAACTTGAAGGTGTGTGGTATTGGGAGACATAGGGGAGAATGATGGAAGGGGTGAAATTAATCAAGGTGTACTGTACTCACAAGCTGACATGTTAAATTGAAACCCCTTCATACAACTACTTAAACATAATTTTTTAGCCAGGCACTAGTGGCTCACACCTGTAATCCCAGCTACTCTGAGATCTGAGGATCATGGCTCAAAGTCAGCCCAGACAGGAAAGCCGGTGAGGCTCTTTTTTTTTTGCGGGGGGGGGGTCCCATCGTGGGCCTTAACTCTGGGCCTGGGCGCTGTCCTTTAGCTCTTCAGCTCAAAGCTAGCGCTCTACTACTTGAACCACAGCACCACTTCCGACTTTTTCTTTTTGCTTATGTGGTGCTGAGGAATCGAACCCAGGGCCTCATGCATGCAAGGCAAGCCCTCTACCACTGAGCCACCTTCCCAGCCCCTCATGAGACTCTTATCTCCAAGTAGCCATCAGAAAACCCAGAAGTGGCACTGTGGCTCAAAGTGCTAGAGTCTAGCCTTGAGTGCTAAAGCTCAAGGACAGAGCCCAGGCCCTGAGTTCAAGCTCCATGATTGACAAAAAAAAATCAAGGTTGGAGGCATGGCTCAGTGGTAAGAGCACTTGCCTAACAGGCACCAAGACCCAAGTTCAAAACCCCAATACCACAAAAATATTTTCAAAATTGTGCACTTCCGTTTCTATTGCTAACTAAATCCATAGTATGATATTCGATACAGATGTCTGCCTCTAGGCCTAGAGACAACAACTTTCTCACCAACAATGGCCAGGGCTTAGTAACTTCCCCCTGGAGAATGAAGCAGGACACGGGGGTGACCAGTAGCCTCTTAAATGCCTGCAGTAGAGATGGCAGCAGGGAACTAGGAATAGGTAGGGTAGGAAACCCCAGAGCCACAGGGGACAGGCGGCTGAGCACAGGGGACCCCTGGCTCCTCCTAACAAATGAGGAAGGGAAGACTTGCCGGCTACTGGTGGCTCACTCCTGTAATCCTAGCTACTCAGGAAGCTGAGATCTGAGGATCGTGGTTCAAAGTCAGCCCAGGCAGGAAAGTCAGTAAGACTTTTATCTCCAATTAACCACAAAAAAAAAAAAAAAAACAGAAGTAGCACTGTGGCTCAAGTGGTAGAGCACTAGCCTTGAACTGAAGAGCTGAGGGACAGCGCCCAGGCCCACAGTTCAAGCCCCGCAAATGACCAAAAAAAAAAAGAAAAAAAGATGAAGCTTCCCAATGAATTCAAGAAATGTAGAGACTTGAGTCCCATTTTCTATTTCCTCTCAGAGGAAGTAGAAGACAGAGCCAAGAGTCTCATTTTCCCAGGGCAACTCTCTAAACCCTGCCCTGTAGAGCCCTCTCCCTGAGGCTCAAGCCTCAGTGTCCCTATCTGCCAGGTGGGTATAACAACAGTCCTGCCCTCTTGACACAGTTATAAACATTGGGCTAGGTAGCATCTTAAATACCCAACACACAGCAGGTCTGGTGTATATACGTGAGGCCCCTTGCACTGGCAGAAGGGACCAGAGGTTGGCCTAAGGGTCTCCCAACTCTTGCTTCCCAGGTCCTGAACCTGTTCCTGGCTCTCCTGCTGAGCTCCTTCAGCGCTGATAGCCTGGCAGCCTCGGATGAAGATGGCGAGATGAACAACCTACAGATCGCCATCGGGCGCATCAAGTGGGGTATTGGCTTCGCCAAGGCCTTCCTCCTGGGGCTGCTGCATGGCAAGGTCCTGAGCCCCAAGGACATAATGCTGAGCCTTGGGGAGCCTGGGGGCACTGGAGAGGCTGGAGAAGCTGGGGACAGTGCCCCTGAGGATGAGAAGAAGGAGCTGCCGCCCGATGAGGGGGACAAGGACCTGAAGAAGAACAATCACATCCTCAACCACGTGGGCCTGGCTAACGGCACACCTACCAGCATCGAGCTGGACCACCTCAACTTCATCAATAACCCTTATCTGACTATCCAGGTGCCCATTGCCTCCGAGGAGTCAGATCTAGAGATGCCCACTGAGGAGGAGACTGACACATTCTCAGAGCCTGAGGACATCAAGGTGAGCCCCTCCTTAGAACCCAGTCTAGAGGGACAGAGGCCAGAGAGACCTGGCTTCCAGCACAAATGCTATCTGACACTCCCCTCTTCCCTCTATAAAATGGGGCTCATGATATCTGCCCCAGGGTATAGTAAGCATTCTATGACATACTACGTGCAAAGTACATAAGAAGTGTTCTGTAATTAACAGGATCTCAGGGATGCGCCATACCAAAACTCCACCTGGCCTGCTCTCACCAGCAGGGGGCACTTGTGAACAAGATGCCCTGACCTGTGGCTCCTCACTCTAGGATTGGAACCCCAGAGGTTTTCTCTTAAATGCCCGCTCTGGGCTTGAAGCCCTGTCAAGCTGTTATAGTCAGCTACATTTGCACCCCACCCAAGGCTGATCTCAACCTCCCAGGATGGGACCAGATGCTGGATCCAGCCAGGAACAGGAGCTAGAGGACCTTTGACACTGGGGATGAGAGGCTTAGAGAACTCAGGCAGGAGCCCTCACCTGCCCCGCCCACACAGGGCCCTTGCTGCTGGGCTGCTGTCCTGTCCTTGTCCCCCTTCCTTTTCAGGGTAAGTGGGGACTGAGATGCAGATAGTGGTCACCCCCAGAGACTAGAACTGAGACTGGGACACTTCCTGGGGCTCCTGGGGGAGCTGATATGGAGCCCCCTTCCCCAGCTTGCAGCCCTGGCATGAGCCCGGACAGGGCCCTGCCCATTCCACCATGCCAACCGTGGCCCTTGCTGAGGACTGGAGCCTAATGACCTTTGTCCTGAAATCTCTTGACTCCTTATTCTCCCCAAATATGTAGCAAGCTGGCTTACCAGGGGGCCAAGTGCCTGCCGTGCTATAAATACCCCCTGGAAATATGGCACCAGCCTGCACCTCGGTATGAAGAACTTGGTGGGGGAGGGGTTCAGCTAGAGGACCAGGCCCCAGAAGGAAGTGCAGGGGAGCCCCTGGGGGATGAACACAGCTCCAAGGGTGATCATGGGTGACCAGCACACAGTGGGACAAACAGTTCAGCACATGCACTAGCTGACCTAGTCAGAGTGCCTCAGTTTCCATTTCTATCAACTGGGAACAAGAGTCGCCCACCCCATTTTCTGGTCAGTGGTACTGGAGGCAGAGCTGTATCCCCATCTCCTACCCCTCTAGGCTGCCTGCTTCCTCTTCCTCTTCAGGGCCCTCATCCCCAGCCATGAAAGACACACACACACACACACACACACACACACACACACACCATGGGGAGTGGAGGTCAGCATAGGAAAGCTGTCCTGGGACAGCACTGGTCAGTGGGAGGAGGCCTGGTCAGCCTGGAGCGGCAGTGCCCACCCCACCCCCACCCTGATCAAGTTCCCTTGGCGCCTAGCTGGGGCCTTGGCTGGGGAAATTTTTCCATCCTTTTTGGATCCCTCAGCCAAACAGACCCTGGGGGTGGAAGGTGCAGATGCGGAGGGTGCCACATACCTGTTTCCTGTGGGCTACAGTAGCCCAGCTCCATCCTGACCCTCTACTTGCCCCTGCCCCTGCCTTAGAACCTTCTGGTAGCTTTTCTTGTTTATCCCCTTGACTCCTAGGACCTCAGCTGGCTGAGCCCCCCATGAGTCCTCCCTACCCCAGCTCGTCCCAGCCTCCTCCTCTACCGGAAGTCCTTGTCTGTCTCCTCAGACCCTTTTCCGGGCCACAAGTGCCAGGAGGGCAGGACCGAGGCCATCTTTGTCATTGGTGTATTGGCCAGGGCACAGTGGGTTCTGCACAGGACTAAGCGAATGAATGAATGAATGAGTGAATGAATGAATGCTTTCTCTCTGGTCTCACATCCGCCCCCCCCTGGCAGGAGGATGAGGGAGTCTTGGGTCTTGGGATTTTACATGCCTCTGTGGCCCCTGCAGAAGCCGCCTCCACCCCTCTATGATGGGAACTCCTCCGTCTGCAGCACAGCTGACTACAAGCCTCCTGAGGAAGACCCTGAGGAGCAGGCCGAGGAGAACCCCGAGGGAGAGCAGCCTGAGGAGTGCTTCACTGAAGGTGAGCACACTGCCAGGCTGGAGCCTGCACCGGGGCCTGGTACCTCGCTGGCCCAGAGTAAGGCCGGCTTAGGGGAGAGGTGGGAGAGGATGGGGGCAGCTGGTGTCCTGAGTCCCTACTTGCAGGTACTCCCATTTTATTTCCTCTTTGTTCTGGTACCGGGGCTTGAACTCAAAGCCTGAGCACCATCCCTTAGCTTTTTTACTCAAGGCTAATGCTCTACCACTTGAGACATAGCTCCACTTCTGGCCTTTTGGAGGTGAATTGGAGATAAGAGTCTCTCCAGTGTATCTGTCCAGGCTGGCTTCAAACCTCAATCTTCGTATCTCAGCTCCCTGCGTAGCTAGGATGACAGGCATAAGTCACCGGTTCCTGGTTCAGAGTTGCCTTTCTTCTGGGTGTCCATCCCTGGTCACAGCTGACACATGGGTAGGGTAGACTGTGGACTTGAGCCTCCAATGTGAGCAAGGTGTAGCCAGGGGTGGGGAAGAGGCAAGGCCCGGGTCTGAGGGCATCCTGAAGCAGCCCCAGGCCCGTGACCATGGTGCATGCCCTGCCCTGCAGCTTGTGTGCAGCGATGTCCCTGCCTCTATGTGGACATCTCCCAGGGCCGTGGGAAGATGTGGTGGACCCTTCGCAGGGCCTGCTTCAAGATTGTTGAGCACAACTGGTTTGAGACCTTCATTGTCTTCATGATTCTGCTCAGCAGTGGGGCTCTAGTAAGTGACACCGGGGGGGGGGGGGGGCGGGGCGGGGAGGGCGGGAAGGGCAAGGGCCAGGTTCCCCTAAGGATCTCTGCCTCCCACGCCAGCCATGGATGCTGCCTGGACAACCCTGAACCCACTGGATCCTAGAAGTACAGATGTCCCCACCCCTTATTCTCTAGGCTGCCATTGTATGCACCCCTGGTCAGTGGGGAGGTGGGTGACCCCTGGAAATTTGGGGTTTAGGTTGGGACAGAAGGGTATCATTGTGCAACCCAAGCAGATACTCAAGAATCAAGGCTCCACTGTGAAGCTAATAGCTTCTATGATGGGGCTGGGGCTGGGAGAGATACACAGCTGTCTCCTAGGCCCCCCATCTGGCTCCCACGTCAGAGCCCTGGGAACCAGCAGCAGGGGGAGGGGATGCAACTGCTGCCCCAGCACCTGGGTCCAGGGCTACCTGCAGGGTCATGCTGGTACCCCCCCAGGCCTTCGAGGACATCTATATCGAGCAGCGGCGTGTCATCCGCACCATCCTGGAATACGCAGACAAGGTCTTCACCTACATCTTCATCGTGGAGATGCTGCTCAAGTGGGTGGCATACGGCTTCAAGGTGTACTTCACCAACGCCTGGTGCTGGCTTGACTTCCTCATCGTGGATGTGAGTCTGCCTGGCCACCTCCAGACCTCCAGGCTGGTTATGGCTAAGAATCTTAAAGAGCCCAGGCCCTGAGAGGTAGGACCTGTCCAAGAACACATGGAGAGAAAGACAACCCTACCTCTACCCCCAATCAGTGCTGCCCTTCACAAAAAAAACAGCCTCTTACATGTCAGATACAGCAGAGGGGGGCTGGGGGAGGCCTGCCTTTTTCCTGTGGGGTAGGCCGGCCGGACTGGGATCCTTATGACCTTGCCAAGATGTGGGGAGGATTTTTCACATCTTTAAAAAAAAATTTTTTTTTGGTCTGAGATCAGGACTCAAACTCAGCACTTGATACTTTTGCTCATTGGCTAGTTCTATCAAATGAACCATGCCTCCAACCCATTTTTTTCTTTTTGTATTGGTACTAGGATTGAACTCAGGGCCTGGACACTGTCCCTTTGCTTTTTTAGTCTACCACTTGAAACACAACTCCACTTCTGACTTTTTGGTGGTCAATTGGAGATAAGAGTCTCATGGATTTTCTTGTCCAGACCAGCTCCAAACCAGGAGCTGCAGGTCTCAGCCTCCTGAGTAGAGAGGATTATAGGTGTGGGCAGTCGGTACTGGCTCACATTCTCCTAGATGGGCACACAGGTTGGTGAAGGAGGTGGGCACTGTCCCTCCTATTTACCATCATCTCCAATTAACTGGTGACCTCACTGAGGTGGGCCCATGCTTTAGGGGGTGCTACGATTGGGCACAGGGCTGCTCTTCCCACTATCCAGGGCCACTGCTAAAAAGAAAAAAAAATGAGGGAGGGTCCAAAGGAGACAACCAGGAGTTGTGAACTCATGAGAGCCCCCTCCTGAATTAGGGCTGTCTCCAGGACCTGTGTCCTGAGTGTGGGTAGAGAGGCCGGGACGCCATACTCCCTGAGCATGCAACCCTTCTTTTACAGGTCTCCATCATCAGCCTGGTAGCCAACTGGCTGGGCTATTCTGAGCTGGGACCCATCAAATCTCTGCGCACACTGAGGGCCCTGCGTCCCCTGAGAGCGCTGTCTCGATTTGAGGGCATGAGGGTGGGTACTGAAGGGCTCCTGAGAATGGGCTTTGGATTGGGGAACAAGGGTCCCTAGGACAGAGTGGAGGAGACGTGCACTTTCTGGTACCACAGGGGGGAAGCAGAGTAGTTTGTCTCTTCTACCACTGGGGGGCAGCAGAAGCTGCCTGAGAGGCCAGAAGGCTTCAAGGCTGAGAGAAGGCCCGCAGACCTGTGGATTATGGGTTTCACCTCAGACTGGGGTCTCCCAGGGTCCTGAAACATTAGCAGGCATGAAGAATCCTGCCCCCCGCCCCGCCTCAAGTGATGAGAGACTCCCCTTGAGCTTGGGGGTGTCAATTTAGAGAAGGTCCTTGAAGTTCTTAGAGGCAGAAGTGACAGGTGAACACAGGGTTGGGGACAAGACCAACAACTGGATGTCCCCAGCCAAGGGAGGTCTGTCAGGAGCAAGACCTCTTCCTCTTGTTCATGCAAGAAGCCCGCCAATACCAGGCCCAGGCCTGGAGTGGGGGACCCATCCCCACTGAGGGGGGAAAAAAACCTGTTCACAACCACGTACTTGGGTGGAATACTAAGCAGGAGTGGAGCTCCCCTGGGTACCTGAGACTTCCCCCAGCAACCAGCTCTGTCTGAAGGACATGATCTGACTCCTCCTTAAAAGAAAAAAGGACAATTGGCTAGAACAGTTTGGCGAGTCACGTGGCTGGGGATAATAGAGAACAAAGCTCCAGCGCTTGGGCTCATGATGCTTGGCGCACTGTGATGGCCTCTTTTGCTCTATCATTTCTTTTTTTTTTTTTTTTGGGTCCAGTCATGGGGCCTGAACTCTGGGCCTGGGCGCTGTCCCTCAGCTCTTCAGCTCAAGGCTAGCTCTCTACCACTTGAGCCACAGCGCCACTTCTGGCTTTTTTCTTCTTGCTTATGTGGTGCTGAGGAATCGAACCCAGGGCCACTGGCATGCAAGGCATGTGCTCTACCACTGAGCCACCTTCCCAGCCCTCTTTTGCTCTATCATTTCTGTTTCTCTGTCGCTAAGAGCATGAGCCCATCATCTGGGGACAGCTCATGTGAGCAGAGTTTCCTATGGAGGGAAGTGTTTGTGTCATGCTTAGTGGCCCATGACACGGCTATTTCCAAAGAAGCCTGGAGTCCCCCACTTTACCTGATAGCTCCAGCCAAGCAGAGAGCCTTCCCCCACCCCTAGACCAGCCCTGCCCCTGACCCCACACACATACACTCCAGCAGATGGCTTCTCCCCCTAGGCTCAGAGGGGCCCTCCTTCCTGAAGGCCCCCCCAAGGGGGATGGGCTCAGGGGCATGGGAAGGACTCTGACATCCCATCCTGGCCCCCAGGTGGTCGTGAACGCCCTCTTGGGAGCCATCCCCTCCATCATGAATGTGCTGCTGGTGTGCCTCATCTTCTGGCTTATCTTCAGCATCATGGGCGTCAACCTGTTTGCTGGAAAGTTCTACTACTGCATCAACACCACCACCTCAGAGAGGTTCGACATCTCGGAGGTCAACAACAAGTCACAGTGTGAAAGCCTCATGCACACAGGCCAGGTCCGCTGGCTCAACGTCAAGGTCAACTACGACAACGTGGGTCTGGGCTACCTCTCGCTCCTGCAGGTGGTGAGTGCCTCACTGCGCCTCATTCTACCGCTGCAGCTTTGTGAAGGGTCCCACCCTGCTTGCAATGGCTGTGGGACCCTCAGATGGTGTCTCGATCTCTCTGGTCCCCATTTGACACCTGCCTCATGGGGCTGGAGCAGTTCGCCTCTGAGGAGGGAGGGCTGGGGAGGGGAGGGACATGCGCATGGTGGACGCAGGGGCAGCCCTCTGCTCTCTTCTCACCCCCCCCCACTCTCTCAGGCCACCTTCAAGGGCTGGATGGACATCATGTATGCAGCTGTGGACTCTCGAGAGGTGAGTCTGGCTCACTGAGCCCCTGCTGGGGAGGGGCAGGAGAGACCCGCCACACCTTCTACTGTCTCCACCACACCATGTCATCCCAGGAGCCCCAACAGCCTGGGGTCAGGCAGAGGGCTCTGGCTTATAGTACTTTGGGGAAGAGGGAGAAAGTTGTGTGTCTCTCCCCCACTCTGACCCATCATCCGGCCCTTGCAGAAGGAGGAACAGCCGCAGTATGAGGTAAACCTCTACATGTACCTCTACTTCGTCATCTTCATCATCTTCGGGTCCTTCTTCACGCTCAACCTCTTCATCGGTGTCATCATCGACAACTTCAACCAGCAGAAGAAGAAGATGAGTATCTGGCCCACCCTCCCTGCGTCTCCAGCCTCCCCCAATCCCGCTGCCTTGCTCCCCCCCCTTGTCCCCTCATTCCTTCCTGTAGCCCCCAGCTCTTAGCAGCCCTGTGTCAAGGGTCACTGAGACGGTGAGCCTGGATGCAAATCCACCCAGGGACATTACATATGACTTGATCTTCCTGAAACTTGGTTTGCTGGTCTATAAAGTGAAATGGATATGAGCCAGGTGTGGTGGTATACATCTATAATCCCAGCACTTGGGAGGCCGAGGAGCCAGTCCTGGCTATACAATGAGACTCTGTCTCAAAAATAACAACAAACTAAATTATTCTAAGGATCCAGTGAGACACTGATGGAAATGGACCTGAAATGGGAAATAGGTCCCCTTCCTTCTGCCATTCCCCTTTCCCTTCTCAGGACCCTTCACCCCTCTCAGCTAATTTCTCTTTCCTTCCTCATCCCTCCATCCCTGGCCTCTCTAGGGACCATTTCTCACCAAGTTCCTTTGGGGGTGGGGGCTGGTTTATGGGTGGTGTCAGAGGAAAAGGGTCCTGGAGATAGAGAAGGGGACCCTCTCCCCCAGCCTTACAGACTCTCTCCCACTATACTTTGGAGGAAAAGACATCTTCATGACAGAAGAACAGAAGAAATACTATAATGCCATGAAGAAGCTTGGCTCCAAGAAGCCCCAGAAGCCAATCCCCCGGCCCCAGGTACCTGCTCTATGCCCGGTAGGCTCCTGCCTGAAGAGGCTGATGGCCTGTGGCGAGGCCCCTCAGCCTGCTGGGAGTTACAAAGCAGCCGCAGCACTGCTGGCACACATAGCACCTGCTGCTAGAGTCCCCTCACTGGCCCTGCACAGCCCCTGGTGGCCATCCACATCTTCATGTGTGATTTTTGGTGGCTCCTAGGGCAGGGCCCCTGACAGGGGGTGGAGGAGGATGTCTAGTGAGCAGTGACTTCGAGAGAAGGGGGACTAGAGGACCTTGAAGAAAGGTTCTAGAATGAGGAGGGAATGCCCACAGACCCACAGAATGAAGTGCTCCTTCCCTTGCATGGCCGATCCCACCACCAGCCCTGATGCTTCTCTCTCTCTCTCCCCCCCCTCCCTCTCTCTTTCATTTCTCTTCCTCCTCCTCCCCTCCTCTCCCACCTCCTTTCCCCTCTCCTCCCACATCCTTTCCCCTTCCCTCCGCACCTCCCCTCTCCTCTCCCCTCTCCTCTCCTCTCCACCCTCATGCTCACTCATGTGTGTGCCGGCACTCTGATGCATGTGCAGAACAAAATCCAGGGCATGGTGTACGACTTTGTGACGAAGCAGGTGTTCGACATCACCATCATGATCCTCATCTGCCTCAACATGGTCACCATGATGGTCGAGACGGACGACCAGAGCCAGCTCAAGGTGGACATCCTGTACAATATCAACATGGTCTTCATCATCATCTTCACCGGGGAGTGCGTGCTCAAGATGTTTGCGCTGCGCCACTACTACTTCACTGTCGGCTGGAACATCTTTGACTTTGTGGTGGTCATCCTGTCCATCGTGGGTGAGCTGGAAAGGCAGCCCTGATATGAACCCTTCATCCCCTAGGAAGGTTGGCCCTGTGCAAGCACACATTATGCATGCACCTGGCACACTCAGCTACACAGACTCTCATGGGTGTCCCTGCCACACTTTGTCTTTCTGCACTGATGGTTTTCAAGCTAGGGTCTTGCTTGATGCCCAGGATGTCCTGGACTGCAGTCCCCCTGTTCGCATTTCCCTTTGTTGCTGGGATGACAGGTGCACACACTGTGCTCAGCCATTGTGTTTCCCCAGTAATGTGGGAGAGCCAGGGCTTGCCATTCTGTCTGCCACTGGTTGAGGTGGAGTCCCATTATGTTCAACTGTGATCCCTCAATCTCCATCCCCTGAGTAGCTAGGATTACTGGCTTGAGCTATGCCTTTTGTTTTATCTTTTGTTTTTGAGATAGGGTTTCACTTGGCCCAAGTTAGCCTTGAACTCTTGATCCTCCTACTTCTACCTCCCTCTTTCTTACTAGGCAGGTACTCTGGACTGCTGAGCCATGCCCCTAGCCCTGTTCTTCACCAGTTATTTTTAGGACAGGGACTCACTTCCTATCTAGACATGTGTCTAAGCCTGGATCTGACTATTTTAGGTTTCCCTAAAATAATTGCTGGGATCACAGACATATCCACCATGTTCCAGTTTACCTCCATTGAAGAGTCTTGTGGCCTTTTTTAAAAAAAAATCTTGGCTGACCTTGAATGGCAATCCTTCTATTCTTAGCTTCCCAAGTAACTAGGATCATAGATAACACACTTCATTTTTTTTGTTAGTTGTAGGGCTTGAACTCAGGACTTGGGTGCTGTCCCTGAGCTTTTATGCTCAAGGCTAGCACTCTACCACTTTGAGCCACCACACCACTTCCAGTTTTCTGGTGGCTATTTGGAGATAAGAGTCTCATGGACTTTCCTGCCTGGGATGGCTTTGAACCACTGTCCTCAGATCTCAGCCTCCTGAGTAGCTAGGATTACAGGTGTGAGCCACTGGCACCTGGCTTCCTTCATTCTTTATACACAAAAGTACATGATACTCACAGGCAGCCTGTCACGTGTGCACACGTGAGTACATGTCAAGAAATGTATTGGCTTGACCAATAGATGCATGTTCATGCCCACATCCAGGATCTATATCACAGGATCTGTACCCCCCAAGAAGAGCAGGAGCCATGATGTAACTGAGCATCATATATCGAGCATTTTCCACATGCCTGGCACTGTACTACATACTCTGTAGTTCTACTTGTTATGCAGAACAATGTGATGACATGGCTACTGTATTACCCCCCTTTTTCAGAGGAGGAAACTGAGTGACAAATGGCATGCCTCGAGTCACATGGCTATTCTGTACCTCATCTCCTCTCACTAATGTCATCTGTAAACAGCCTTAAGAACCACCCCTCCTCAGAGCCCAGGGCTGGTAGTTTAAGCCTGTGAGCTACCGCCTAGCAACTCAGGAGGCTGAGATCTGAGGATTGCAGTTCAAAGCCAGCCAAGGCAGGGAAGTCTGTGAGACTTTATCTCTAGTTAACCAGATGTGTTGCTGTGGTTCAATTGGTAGAGCACTAGCTTTGAGCCCAAAAACTATAGGACAAGAACCCAGGCCCTGAGTATATCCCACTTCCAGCTGACAAGGCAAAGTCACCACCGGGGACCCCCTAAGACTTCCGGAAGAGCCCAGTGTGGTTGGGATCTTCCTGCCCCACTGTGAGGCAGAACACCACAGGCTGGGCTCCCAGAGCAACATGTGCCCCACCCCTTGACTCCATCCCTCCTTTCTGTAGGCCTCGCGCTCTCCGATCTGATACAGAAATACTTCGTGTCTCCCACGCTGTTCCGTGTGATCCGTCTGGCTCGGATTGGACGTGTCCTGCGGCTGATCCGTGGGGCTAAGGGCATCCGGACGCTGCTCTTCGCCCTCATGATGTCTCTGCCTGCCCTCTTCAACATTGGCCTCCTCCTCTTCCTTGTCATGTTCATCTACTCTATCTTTGGCATGTCCAACTTCGCCTATGTCAAGAAAGAGTCGGGCATTGACGACATGTTCAACTTCGAGACCTTCGGCAACAGCATCATCTGTCTTTTTGAGATCACCACGTCGGCTGGCTGGGATGGGCTTCTGAACCCCATCCTCAACAGTGGGCCCCCAGACTGTGACCCCACCCTGGAGAACCCAGGCACCCATATCAAGGGTGACTGTGGCAATCCATCCATCGGCATCTGCTTCTTCTGCAGCTACATCATCATCTCCTTCCTCATCGTGGTCAACATGTACATTGCCATCATCCTGGAGAACTTCAATGTGGCCACGGAGGAGAGCAGCGAGCCCCTGTGTGAGGATGACTTTGAGATGTTTTATGAGACGTGGGAGAAGTTTGACCCGGATGCCACACAGTTCATTGATTACAACCGCCTCTCCGACTTCGTGGACACCCTGCAGGAGCCGCTAAAGATTGCCAAGCCTAACAAGATCAAGCTCATCACACTGGATCTGCCCATGGTGCCAGGGGACAAGATCCACTGCCTGGACATCCTCTTTGCCCTCACCAAAGAGGTGCTGGGCGACTCTGGGGAAATGGATGCCCTCAAGCAGACAATGGAGGAGAAGTTCATGGCAGCCAATCCTTCCAAGGTCTCCTACGAGCCCATCACCACCACCCTCAAGAGGAAGCAGGAGGAGGTGTGTGCCATCAAGATCCAGAGGGCCTACCGCCGGCATCTGCTGCAGCGCTCTGTGAAGCAGGCATCCTACCTGTACCGCCACAGCCAGGATGGCAGCGCGGATGAGGCCCCGGAGAAGGAAGGACTCATCGCCAGTGCCATGAACAAGATGTATGGCCGTGAGAACGGAGGCCACTGCAGCGTCCACAGTCAGGGGGAGGAGGAAGGCTCTACAGGGGCTGAGGGACCCCCCTCGGGGCTTACACCTGTCAGCCCCTCAGATCCTGCCCCACCCCCTGCCCCCCCACCAGGACAGACAGTGCGCCCAGGGGTCAAAGAGTCTCTTGTCTAGCAGGCAGCATGAAAGCCGCCAGCTGAGCCTAAGCACGGGGCCCAGAGCTCCCCCCCCCCAGAGGGGCCTGTGTGCAGAACAAGGGAGTGGGGTTTTGCGTTTGAGGATGCATCCAGCTTCTTTGTGGGGTTCAGGAGTTGGTCAGGCTGGGGCTGATACCTAGGCCAACGGAACTGCAGATGGGGGCCTCCTTGATTCCATCTTGGAGGTCCTCATCTTACCTCCATGGGCCTCTGTTGCCACTTCTCTTGCCTGAGGGATGGCAAAATGAATACCCATGAGTTGGAAGGAAACAGCCTATGACGGAGGAAATGGCTGTCTCACCTGCCCCAGTGTCTTAAGGACTACTGGCTTCTTCCCAGGAAGTGGTCTCTCAGCTCCAGCCTGGATAGAAACAAGTCTTAACCTCAGGAGTGGAGATGCCCTTCCTCAGGGCTCGGCCAGCTCTTCCTTCCTTCTTTCCCCTGCCAGTTCAGGAATTTCCTGGTTTTACCCTGGAAATGTTACTGGTCCAGAAATAACTACAGGAACCTGATTGGCCACAGTCTCCTGAGACATCTGGCTGGATTGTGACTTCTGAAACCTTTTGCCTGTGGCCATGTCTAGGCCATGGAGAAGTCCCCTGGCTGGCCTTCAGGGGAAGAGCAGAAGGGATTCCAGGAACTGCCATTTTTTAGGAATCATGGATGGGTAGAACAGGCTGCGTCCGGCCAACTCCGCTGAAACACTTGGCAGCAAGATGCCAGTGGGGTCAGGGGTGCAGAAGATTCTGTTCGTTTCCACTCTTCCCTCCTCACACCTTCATTAGACTACCAGGGTTTCTTGTAGCCCCAGCAAGCTGCAGAGATGTCTCCCTTCTTATCTCACCCCCTGCCCAACTCTTCCTCCCTCATCATCCTTCTCCACCTCCTCAAAATATGACCGAAGAATGTTAGAGTTGAACTCACGTGGACTCATGTGTTGACACTGGGGCGGATAGTAGAGGAGGCTCCGCTGGCTTGGGCTCAGCCTTCCAACTTCCTACTGCCTGGAAAGCTAGTTCTGTTGGCTCTGCTCATCTGGACATGGCTACCAGTAGGCTTTGTTGGCTCCCAGAGGATGGAGGCTAGGTTTAAAGGAGGATGTGAAAGTTCTGCTCAGGGGTCTCTGGATTCAGTCACTGTATGCATACCTGTGCAACTGTGTGTCTAGTGGATAGCTGGGGGTGAGCCACTGTGTAGAGGTGCCTAAAGATGCATGCTATGTCTGATTATCTTTGTTTCTGTGTGTGTCAAGTGTGCCCTGGAGTGTTGTCCTTGGTCTTCTGTATAGCTCTGTTCGTGTGAATGTGCCTGAATAGGAAAGAGTGTGCTATGAGAGTTGGAGTGAATGTAAACACGTGGTAAGGTTTGCACAGAGTTCCCCATTGGACTAAGTTCCTCTTCTTTTTCTTCTTGTTCTACATAATCAGTTTGATTAAAACTCAGGAAGCAGCAAAACCTTGAAATTGAGATAAATGTGTACGCATGTGTGTGTGTGTGTGTGTGTATGTGTTCACATCTGTGTGTGCCTATAGGCATCTCCCTTACTGTCTGCCCTGCTGTCCCCTCCCTTCCATCTCCCTCCCTTCTCATGCATCCTTCGATTCCTGCTTCTTGTCCTCACACCCATGACTTCTGTCCCATCCCTTTTTCCCTGATGAGCCTTTTCTGTGGAAGATGTCAGGTCCTTCCTTGTGGACTCTTTCAGAAGTTCCTCCAGCGAGGGCCAGGCTCCTCCTGCTCACTACCTTGCTTCTCTGCCTTCCCTGCTTGGGCCCCAACCCATGACACCCCACAGCCTCAGGAATCTACCGGGTGGGTGTTCACACACTGGGAACCAACTGCAGAGAAGTGATGAGCAGGGTTTGGTCCCCTCCCATGTAGACTGACACCTGTTCCCACTTGGTCCCAGGGGGAACCAGCCCCATGCCAGGCTGGCAGACAAGCTTCTTTGTACAGTTCTTACAATAAACCTTCCCTAGGTCCTTCTGATGTGTGGATTTCTCCTTTCTGGGACTCCCTGTGTGCTTTTGGGTAAGAGCAGCAAGAAGAAAGGGCCACAGGCGTTGGCCTATAGGCCTTGGCAAACAGGCTGTGCCCACAGGGTGATGCAAAAGGAAGAGGAGAAGGTCTGCCCATTATCATACTCCTCCTTTCACCAACAGGCCGTGTCCAGGAAATACACTGGTCCCAACCCCTGCCCTCAGAAGCTCTCTTCCCCTAGGCCTCTTCAGAGACCTCAAGGCACCTGTGAGGCTCAGAGGGTTGCCCTGACCCCAGAGAGCTCAGAGCCACAGAGAACTGAGTGTAAGAGAACATTCTCATATAGCAAACATGGTCACAGGTCCACCGAATGACATGTGGCTTAACAACTTCTGACTCCCAAGATTGGCTGACTTCCGCTAAGCTTGTGAAGGCTTCCTCCTTTCCAGGGTTTCTGTACCCCTTTGCCTAAGGTTCCAAGATACAGAGATGAGGGGCACTCATGAGACAGACTACCCCCAAGATGTCCTTCAATTGTCCCTGCTTGATTGCTCTACTCCAAGTTCTCTGCCTGTTGAGGAGGGTGTTCCGTAGCTCTAGGATTTTCTGAGCCGGCTGAGGTTCCAACCTCCATCTGGAAATCAATTCTTCTCACTTTGTTTCTCCTGACCTTATCTGGGCTTTTCTTCTCTGGCCTAGTGCTGCTGCATCCCTGAATGGCAGAGGAAAAAGACAAAACACAGGGTAGGACACAAGTATCATAAAATCCTTTCTCAAAATCACACACACACACACATAATCAGAGCTCCCCTTCCACTTCTCCAAGGACCCAAGATGGCCTTGGGTCATAGAGCCCTATGAAGAACAAGTTATTGGTCTGGGTGCTGGTGGCTCATACCTATAATCCTAGCTACTCAGGAAGCTGAGATCTGAGGATCATGGTAATTGACTATCACCAATTAACCAGCAAAAAGCTATAAGTGGAAGCATTGTTCAAATGTTAAAGTACCAGACTTGACTACTAAGGCTAAAAGAGAGCCCCAGGCCCTGAGTTCAAGCCTCACTACCAGTGCACACCGCCCCCCACCAAGAAACAAAAACATGTGAATGCACACACATGAACATATTATTGAAATTACTTTTATTTGCTGGGTGCCAATGGCTCATGCCTGTAATCCTAGCTACTCAGGAGGCTGAGATCTGAGGATCACAGTTCAAAGCCAGCCTGGGCAGGAAAGTCTGAGAGACTATTATTTCCAACAAACCAACAGAAAACTGGAAGTGGCACTGTGGCTCAAGTGGTAGAGCACTTGCCTTGAGCTGAAGAGCTCAGGGACATGAGGGCTGTCTTCCTGGGTAGTACTGGAACAAAGGCAGAGAAACTCTGCTTTGTGGGCTGCTGCTGTCCCATCAGGACCATTAGCCCTTGGCCCTTGAATGCCAGAGTTATAGAGTATGACCTTCTCCCTTGCCCTAGCACATTACCATATGCTCCCAAGCAAAGGACACATGAACTATCCCAGGCTGTAGCTGGTACACATGGGTTAGGATTGAAACCTGGTCCTTCTTAGCCAATGGCTCCTCCTGGTAAAGGTACCTGGAGGCCCAGAAGACCTAGACAGAGGAAGGGAGAGGTTTGAGACTCTTTCCCTTCTATTCTCATCCTTCCTGGAGTTCCTGCCTTCTTGCTTCCCTAACTCTGAGCCCCTCATTCCTTCCCTGCCTTCCCACCCTTATTCTGGTGTTATCTTCCTGAAAAGGTAGTGAAGCCACCAGATGTAGCCCAGGACAGCTGGGGACAGAGCAGGAGTGGTGATAAGGCCTTCTGTGTTGGAAAGGAAAAGGGCATCACAAACCAAGGACAGGGGTCAGCACTGTTGTCACCAGTAAGAGAACAGCTTGGCCCCAACTGTGACAAATAATCCCAAAGTCATGGGGCCCCACTGCTCACCTCTCTTGAAAGCTTTGGCCTGCCATGAATGGGAATGAAGTCCAAAGGGCACATCTGCATCCCTCCCACAGGGCATGCTAATGCAGTGAGTGTGAAGGATGCCAACTGCCCCCTGCCAATGTCCTTGCCGCTGCTCCACATAGCCCAGACAACACACATGGAAGTGTATACTCCCACACACGTGTGCACTAAGCCTTCCTTGGTATCCCCCATTCTTGGGAATACGAGCCCCAAAGCTAACTGACTCAGGAGGGGCACAGGAGACATCTGGACTTTGTCCCGCTCCCTTGGCTTGTCTCTCTCCAGCTACCCCAATACCAGCAATGGGGCCCAGGATCCCCATGATGACCTCAGGTGATGTTCTTATTCCTAGGCTGTTTGTTCCATGAGCTGAACATCTGATACCTTTTCAGAGAAATGTTTTTTTCATCTGAACATCTGGAAATGATGGAAAACATCTGGGAAGGCCCAGAACAAGATGTTCTATGGATGAAAACCCCCTTGGCCCCAATTTCCACAGAGGAGCTGCCACCGCCCCCCCCACTCTGTCAGGTGAAGTATGGACCTGAGATGGGGTAAGGTGAGGGGCCCAGACCCTTCCCCATGGGAGGAGAGTCCTCACTTCCCTAAACCCAGGCAACTCTACCAGTCACACAGGCTGTGACTCAGGGTCATAAAGATTGAGATGGGGATAGAGACACTGAAGATTTAAACTTTATCTTCTTCTCCTGGGGGTAGGTCAGAGGACAACAAAGAAAAAGGAACTGCCTGAAGATGTGGCTCAGAGTCCCGTTATAGGCTGTGGTGTGCAAGCTTTACTCTGCCCAGCTGCGCAGATTGCATCCTGCAACCCCAAGGGAAAAGGTTGTATGGAACTGAGGTGGGGGTGGACAGGGGCACAACGTTGATATTAGATGAACTCAAGTGTTACAATTCCATCTGCTGACTGAAAAGTTGGGATTTTTTGCGGAGGGTGGGAGTGTCAGTACTGGGGCTTGAACTCAGGCCCTTGCATTCTTCCCTGTGTTGCAGCACCTCTAATTCTG